GGGGGGGGGGGGCGCGGCGCAACTATGGGCAGGCCGCCACTGATTAGGATGCACTATTTTTGATGTATGGTACCTGGAAGCACAACAGGTTTTTAAAAGTATCTCCAAAGTTGCCAGCAGTCAATTAAAATTGTGCCGTTGTTCAGAAAGAGTACTTTTTGTATTTTAAGTAAATGTTACTACTAATACTTTTGTACTTTTACGTAAGTTTAATATTTTCAATGCAGTTCTACTTGTAACAGTATCCCTACACTGTATTAATACTTCTATTTAAGGATAAGATGTAAGTATTCTTCTTCCACTACTGCTTACAGTACAAAAAATACAATAAAAAATGAATTACAGAGCCAGAGTTGATTTTAAGGCCATACTACTCAACTCTAATAAACCTCACCTTTTCCACAAAAAGTCATGAAACAGTTTGTTAGTCATCCTCTGCTGTGAATAAGGAACCCTTTATCCTCTTTAATGTCACTTTGAGTCCACACCGCCTGTTTGAAGATGCAAATGTTTCTGAGAAAAGAGATCACACCAGAGAGTTAGACAATGTTTGATTTTTTATTAAAAAGTAAAATTAGACGTTGGTCGGTGGTCACGGCTAACCCGCTTTCCTCCCTAGTCGTATATCACAAGGTTTTACAGATGGCAGTGATGTGTGTGTCATCAGCTCAACACAAATACAACGGGGAGAACTAAAGTCTTCGTCCATAGCCTTTATTGAAAATTCTTTACATGTCAATCCTTTGAACCTGCCCAAACCCAGCTTTAAAGACTATAAATATATATATATAAAAAGGAAGTGTAAAAGACCCTTTTGCAGTTCCTCCAAGAACAAAGAAAGCATTTACAGTCAGGTCTCCACTTGAGAGGGGCAGTTTGTCTGTTGAAATGACACAATAACAGTGATGTTTACAATTGTTAATGAAAAAACAAATCCAAATTGAAAAAAACAAAAAGGGCTGGGGAACCATCAGTGGCCAAATGAAATCAGTAAAACACAGGAGAACAGCACGGTACCGAGAGAAGAGGGCAAGCCATCCCTGCCGTATCAGTACACATATGAATACGTATACACTGCTGGTGTCCTCGTCCCTAACTATAGAAACCTCTGCACATCAAAGTGTTTTCCTTAAGAGGTTATTACTGAATGAGTTGTAGAGCCAAATACACCAGCAGTATAAAGTCCCCCCTGTCCTTTGATGACCAGTGCACACACAGAGAAGTGAGTATCAGCAGTGGGCCAACAGCACTGTCACTGAAATACAAAGTATCAGATTATTCAGAGAGCAGGAGTGGAGCACCACCTGGTGGCTGAGCCAGGACATGCAGGGAAACTTTCATTCGCCTCTTTGAATTCCCTAAATTCATTCAAATGAGCGACTTGTGTTTGTGGCAAAATGAACAAGTGACCATTTCTGCTGAGACAATGAAAAATAAAACTGCCGTTCTCTGCATTGACTAGGAGAGCTGTGATTTAACCTTGTTTTTTATTGAATGCATTTAATAAGTTGTCATTTACAATACCAAATAAAATGTGCAAAAAATATCAAATATTAAAAAATGCCCATTTCCTTAACAAACGTCACAATTGTCGTTTTTAAACACTGTTTACAAATGTTTATGCACATAATTTTTTAATAAAGTCTGGTCCTGCAGCTGCTGGCATAATAGGTGCACTTTACACGGGAGGAGTGCAAACTGACGGAGCATTGAGGTACCGGTTCTTTTAAAGTGGCAGGGCACTACAGAGGAAAGGCTGGGCAGCTCTACGCCACAACAAAAGTCAGATCCCTGTTTTTAAAAATATCTTGGCAACAAGAGATTTCAACGTTTAGCTCTTACGTGATGCGACCGCACGTGACCTGCAGTTTCGACCCAGCTTTTTACAATAAACTTTAAACCTGGACTGGGAAAAAAAAAATTCTAAAACTAGTATAAAAAAAAAACTACCATGTTTATCTCTAGACTGGCATTTGACCGAAGATAACCTTGGTGTCGAGATGCTTAGTAGTAAGAGCGATTTACAGGTGACAGGACAAATGCATTTCAGAACACATTTAGACATCAGCGCTGTTTTGAAACAAGAAGGATTTCCGCTACAGGGACTCCATCTATTACACGGACAACATTTAGGTCAAATTACACTTGTGTGTGAGGTTTCAACTTGGAAATGAAATTTAAATCAAAAAGAGTCTTAAGAGCTACGAGGACCCATCCATTATCTCAAGTGTCTCCTTTTTATCAGTTGGAAATAAACAAAAGATCTCCAATATTAAACATGTTACAAATATAAATCGGGTTTCTTTTGTTTTTCAAAATATGAACAAATTCAATAACACAAAAAAGTCCTTCTGAGGTTTAAGTCCCGCTGGCTGTGAGGAAGAGGAGGAGGAAGAGGAGGTGGGCTCTTGATCATTTTTAGAAGAGCGGGACAGAATCTTGAAAGCAAAGCGAGACAGTGGGAAATAAAAAGCCTGGACTTCAGGAGCGTTTCTGTCTCTTGGAATGTCGCTGCCGGCTGGACGGCTCCTCGTCGCTGCTCGCCCCCGCCGCGTCGCCCCGGCCCCCCCGCTGACGATTTCTCCGTGTGTCCCGCTCGCCATCGCTATCCTGCTCCCTGTAATCCTTCTTCCTCGAGGAGCTGGAGGTCCGCTTGCTCCTCCTCCTGCCATCATCATCATCGTCGTCCCCCTCGCTCTCGCTCTCCACCCGCCGTCCCCGAACACTTTTGCTTTTCTTCGTGTTCGATTTGCCATTCTGCATCTTCTTCTTCGGTTGTTGTTTCTCCTCCTCTTCTTCCTCCTCCTCTTCCTCCTCTTCGTCCTCAGAGGTTGCAGGAGCCCGGCTGACGCGTTTGCGTGAGCGGCGGCGGAGGTAGCTGAGGCCGGGCAGCAGCCGCTGGAGCAGCTCGGTGAACGACTGCTCCGTCTTCACCATGGCGGAGAGCACGCTGCTGCCCTGCTGGTTGTACTCCTCGGCGTTGGAGAACACCAGCTTCAGGTCTTCCATGAACTCCTGGGCGTTCCGATACAAACTCTGGCTGAACTTCCCCAGCATGGTCTGGAAGTCCATGGGCTGGGTGATGATGTCCAGGTAGTCCTCCGCCTCCTCTGGGGACACCGGCTCCCTGTGAGAGGAGAAGAGTGCCGTTAAGAATACATAATATTGAATGATCTCTAAAGTCGTTCATAGGCTTTGTTATTTAACAACAACAAACTCAGAGTGTAAAGCATGAGTTCATTATGATTTATTCATGGGTTGAAAGAAACAACCTGCAACATTTGCCCTCTCATCAGGGATCTGGTAATATTGGTTCAGACTAAAGCTGTGCGATTATGGCAAAAATCATAATCACGATTGTTTGTCAATAATTGATATCACGATTATTAAAAACGATTATCCATTTACCTTGAAAACATCCATTAATTGAACAGTATGATTTTAACAGTTGATTACCCTGGACTTTAAGTATAATTAAACTAAAAAACCAATACAACATTTGCTTTTCTTTTTAAATAAAAATAATCGTTTTATTTCGATTACGTTGTTTTCTTAATTGTTGCAAGCCAAAGACTTTTTCAAAAACTTGGGTTTCTACTAACACAATAAATCGTATTATAAAATAAAATAGCTAAACATCAGGGTTCATACACTTTTTCACCAATGATGGTCGATGACCTTAACCTAGTTTTCCATGACCAAAAAATTATCCTTTCTCAGCGGTACCACTGAAAATGGTTTATTTTAACAAGGAACAGGGAAATAAGGTCTGACACACATTGTGCCTATCTAAAACAAATAGTAGGCTTACTAAGCACTTTGAATTGCCTTGTGTTGAAAAGTGCTATATAAATAAACTTGCCTTACTAGCTTCTACACGCAAAAGCAACTAAAATCTCTCACCAGCAAAAAAGTTAAATGCCATTTTACGTTTCATTACTATACGATACAGTATTTATTATCGTTATAGTATTACTATTTCGGCGATTAGATCAAATATAAATTATATTTGATGCAACTTCAGTTACATTTCCATGACTTTTCTATCACTTCTCCAGGGCCTGGAATTAGCATTTTGAAAATCCATGACTTTTCCAGGTTTTTAATGACCGTAAAAACCCTGAATGACATCATTATACATGTTGAATGTACTGGGGATGGGGTGTCATGATGTTAACAAATGTTGTCTCCCCAAAAGAACATTTTGGGTTTCTACTAAACACAAGAAATCGTATTATAAAATAAAATATCTAAACATGCCTCCTGGCCGTAAAGACTTTCCGTGCTGCTTCAGAACTTATTATGAATAACCTGACCTTCCATCCAAACATAAAGAGAGGGTGTTTTGCTCACCTGAACGGCCAGCTGTAGCGGAATTTCATGAGTTTCTTGAGGATTTCCTCGCACCTCTCCAGCTCCAGCGCCTGCTTGCGCACTCCTGTCTGGGAACTCTGTCGCACCTGCACACACACACACAGCAATTAGAACAAACCGATTAACTCATCCCATTACATGTGTACTCTTTAATTCTTCTAGTGGTTTCTTACCAGTTCATCGATGTCTGCGGGGCTGGTTGGGCCCGACTTTGATTTGCTGGTCGGAGTACTTGAAGACGACTGCTTCTTGGGTTTGCTTTTGGAACTTTTCGGCCGAGACGAAGACTGCTTATTTTTCTTCCTTGGTCTCACTGTAAGGAATAAAGGAGGTAATCAGTAAACCAGAGAGGCAAGAGTTATGGTTATTTCTTCAAGCACTAAAACGGGCAGCAGGGGAAAAGATCATCTTAGAAAAAAATCTGACCACTTCCCTGTTTGTAACCAAAATGAACAGTTAATTAGTCATAACAAACATCTTGCAAATAGGGACGTATTGTAATACGGATTTTTGTTTGAAACTGATGCTCAAATAACAACAACAGCTTGTAATCAAACATATCCCAGTGTGCACTGCTTTGGACTATCTCAAATATTCCGCTGCTTTGCGACCCTCTCTTGAACCATTCTTCATCGATGCATATAACTTCCTAATCTTTATTCTTGACATGCAGGCTGGACCTGAAAGAGAGGATCATCCTGCCACATACTGAGAGTGAAGCCAGAGTGACACGTGGCTTCAAAGCAGATCCAGACCTGAGCTGAGCTACATGACGACCCCCGGACAATAGAGACTAAAACCCCCCGTCAGCATTCATCTCATTCCCAACCTGCTGAAACTAGGACATCCCACATTTTCCAAAACCACATTTAATCTATAATATTTCATTTTGGACAACTCCATGTATTTATTCCATTAAGAGGACAAATTACAGTTGTGGAAGCTTCCTTTAAAAAAGTAACCCCAGGCACACTGTAGGGTTTGTTCGAAATCAAAATGCATTTGTTTAATACATGGCAATGCTCATTTAAATACATTCCCCTTTAAAACTACTTAGACTTGAAAGTAGACCCTATGTTCAAGACAATATTCTACCGATGTTTCTAATACAAAATATGATGCATTGATGAGCGGGTGCATGGACGTCAGAAGAGACTGGAACTGTGTCCACTTATCCCGATAGTGAGGTCATCCCTCAACAAGCCAAGAGCATCTTCATTTTCTCTCGCTGGTACTCACAGCTGTGGCCCATGGCTTTGTAGTCATTATCTTCCTCATCGTCTTCTTCTTCCTCAGACTCCTCCTCTTCTGACTCCTCCTCATCCTCCTCTTCATCAGTGTCTTGGTTGTAGTTCCTGCAATGGAGAGGTTGCTGATCATCAAACATCTCAACATGAGTTACAAAGAAATGGCTAAAAGTTTACTACGTCAATCTTGATAACAGTAATAAGCCATAAACGTTGTGTATAACAGTGCATAGGTGGTTCTTCAATTCAATTTGGCTTCGTCAGTATAGGAGCAACATTAAGTACGGCTCCGTCAGCTCCTAGTAGGCCGCCATTGTTGATGATATGTACAATATATACGTAGCGGCTTAAACGGTGACGTCATGACGTAGCTCCTACAGGGATCTGGTCAGTGGAAAAGCAAACTGGTTCAAAGTTGCCAATCAATTGCGAACCGTTCTAGCACCAGCACGGAGCTAGAACGGTTCTTATTTCCTTTCTAGCTCCGTGTCTGTAGAGCTTTTGGTAGATTTAGACAAATGATCATATAACGGGTTCCAGTGGCGGTTGTAGAACATTTTACATGGGGTGGCAAGAGGTCATGGCGGACAGTACGTGGTATTTTATACTGTATATTAGGGATGCCAGAAACTGACCATGATCAAATTAGAAAATCGGACAGCCCTGGCAAATATTAATCGATTATTCG